AGTGGAACTGCAAGGAATGGATCAACATTCTTTTACATTGATGCATTTGGCAGACGCTTTTATTCAAAGCAGCTTGTACATTTTTTTTTTTCAATTTATGCATTCCCTGGGAATCAAACCTATGATCTTTGCATTTTTAGTGGCATGCTAAGCAAAGTAAGGTCAGATCATTTTAACTTAACTTCACGTTTGTCATTTTCAATGTTGATAAAATACTTTTTGAATTAAAGTAAGGAATTATGTAGGTATGTGTGTGCATTACTGACCCTGACACCAACATCTGTCCATCAGCAGAGTAAGCACAGGACAGAATGGGAGCAGACTGACCCGTCAGAGTGTGAACGAGCTGCATCTTAATGCCTGTGGATCAACAAACATCATTAATCACAAACACACTCGCTAAAAACACAGAAGACACAGGTGGGCAGGTATCAGATGGTGCTACCTGCAGCAGACAAAAGAGAAACAATCCATATCTTCACCAGACTGTCCTGTCCACATGAGGCCAGTCGAAACTGAACGCAGCCATCTGTACCTGTGAAAGAGAGACATTAGAGGAAATATTACAAAAGCTATTCTGAAACTATTTTGCAGGTTGCCAAAGCTACAAGATCATAATTTGAAGTAGTCAAGCCACACTTCTGAAGTAGCTACTACCATTCAAATGTTTGCAGTTAGTGAGGTTTTATTGATTGATTGATGTTTTTAAAATAAGTTTCTTGTGCTCAGCGAGGCTTTATTTATTAGATCAAATATACAGTAAAAACTACAATTTAAAAAAACTGTTTTCTTTGTTTCTTTATATTTTAAAATGTAATTTATTCATGTGATGGCAAAATAGAATTTTCAGCAATTGTGCTGCTTAATATTTTTGTGGAAAACGTAATGGTAATTTATTTTACAATTTTTTCAGGATTATTTAATTCAAAATAATTGTAATCTTTGTAACATTATAAATGTCTTCACTGTCACTTTTGGTCAATTCAATGTGCCCTTGTTAATTCAAATTAATCATTAAAAATAACTTTTTTGATAGTGTACATTTAACCATTTGTGACTATATCTTGTATAATATATGTATAACCATTAGATGATATTTATTTTTACATGATCTAAATTACATTTATCTAAATTAGGGTGACAGCATTAAACCAAATATAAATTTACAATTTATAATAAATTAAACTAAAAACATGATAATTAATATTGTTCAGTCAAAAACAAATGATGAACAGCAGCAACTGAATATTTTGCTAAAATAAAGAAATTTTTGATCAGTGAATCTGTTTATTTATGAACTGTGCAAACAAATCAGTTCACTAAAATGCATCTGACTTTACATGAATTTACATTTAGGAGAGTGTGTCTAAATATTACTAAAGCTTACTCAGATACATCAAGGTAGTGTTTTGTAATTTGTCGGAACAATTGAAATCCAGGAATCGTACCCTTCATTATCTGGGGAGCAAACTGACAGCAGGAGACCCCGAGGTCATGGGCGTTCTTCTCCGCATGGAGATGGTTCATATTCAGGTCCCACAGTCGCAAGTCACCATATGTGGAGCCGGTGATGAACAGCTGACCGCAGGGAGTGAAAGAGCAGGCCACTATACTGGTGTCAGTCACTGCGCCCGTCCTAAACAGCAACATACACAAGTGTCAATCAAACAGTTTGATCTGGTGCAGTGCAAAATAAATCTGACTTAAATCTAACACTATCATACAAAAAGAATGGCTTGATTCACTATGTATTTAACAACATTTTCAACAACATTTAATGGCCCAAACCTGCAGGGGCTCGAGAAAAGAAAGAAAGAAAGAAAGAAAGAAAGAAAAACATTACTTGATGAAACACAATAATTATTAACATGGTAATTACCAATTCATTTTTAATTAAATTCCACTCTGATTGTATTTTTTATATTATTTTCCCCTTCATTTATTTATTTTCTGTATTTAATCTTTTCTGTATTTATTTATTTAAGTTTTTATTTATTTTACTTTATTTATTCCCACATGCATTTATTCCATATTTAAATACTGCCACATTTATAAATAATACTGGACTGACAAATATTGATTTGACTACACTGACATTATTGGAAAAAACAAAACAAAACAAACTGAATTGAGCTGGATGACGACACTGATGATCAGTGTTGGGCAAGTTGCATTATGTATGTTATATGTAATACATTATATATTATTAGTTACTGTAATTTAAAGTAATTATTTATATTACAATCTTACTTTCTCTGAATTGTAATGTTACACTACTTTTGCGTTACTTTCACCAAAATAACTACAGAAGTACTTTTGCAATGCGTTACTCCCAACACTAATGAATCTGATGACGTTGTCTTCTGTAGAATTGCTTGATAGCTGAATCAAATTTGTTTAATAATTGACGCAATTTAATATTGTTACTGAACTGAACTAAATCAACATTGAACTGACTTGAGCTGAATAATGACACGGTTTTCTTGTTGCTTTCTTGTAATTCAGCTGCTTATAACTGAATTGAACTGGATTCAAAATTCATGAAGTTTACACTGAATCAACACTGAACTGACTTGAGCTGAATGACACTATTGTCTTATTTTAAAGAGCTGCTTTAGAGCAGAACTTGAATTTGAGTTTGCGTCATTGATTTTCCTGTCTAATTATTATGAAGCTGTTTCGAAACAGTATATATTGTATAGCACTTAATATGTTGACCTGACTAGACATTTATTTATTGCAAAATTTTTATTTATTAATCTATAAATAAATCGAGTGGAGCACTGCTCATTGAATATGTAGATCAGTAATGGGAAGCTGATGTACCTGCGCAGGGTCCTGGAGGTAAAGTCCCACAGTGCGATGGTGCCATCGGAGCCTCCAGACACCAGGAAAGATGAATCTGGAGAGAAGGCGCACACCCTCACCGGACTCCGGCCCGGATGCTCCAGGACGGCCTCGATCTCTCCGGTGTCCATCGACCACACCACGGTGGTGGCATCGGTGGAGCAGGAGGCCAGGTACTGACCGCAGGCGCTGAAGCAGCAGCAGTGCACACCGTAGCCGTGTCCGGACAGCGGGGAGAAGGGCAGCTCGCTGAAGTCTCGTGCGGAGTAAACGCAGATGCTCTTATCGGCGGAGCAGGTGGCCAGCAGAGCGCCGGAGAACGCGCAGCAGTTCACATCGTCTTGATGACTTTGTAAGGTGCAGATCAGAGACACCATGTCTGTGTTTATGTCTTGTTGTCTGACTGTTCCCTTTAAATTCACAGGAAGAGGACGTGTCTTACATAACGGACAAAACAACAGAATTCACGTTTAGTCTAACGCTAAAAGCTGGAGTTTGACACATTATTCAAAACAGACAAACCACTTGATATTACAAACATGCTTCGCAAGTTGTTTAAACTGACGAAAAACGTGTTGTAATACCTTTGGTCACTCCTATACAGCATTATGAAATTATCCAGTATCACGTTTAATAATCTAGCATTACATTTCAATATATTTTTTATTATTTATGTCAAATGTAAGCGATGTTCGAAGACGTAACGTACCTTTCGCGAACACTTCCTGGTTCTGTCACGTGACTTCCAGTTTGTCCAGTGGTTTTTGTTTACTACGCTGTATTTGTTTTGTCACGTTATCAGACTGCCATAATTGTGTGTATTTGCTTATACATTATGCGCAGCCATATTAATTTTTATGTACAAATTAACATTTTAATTTAATTATTATGAATTCAATCACATTTCTTAAGACGTTTCCTATATTTGATGTCTTTCTTGCTGAGATTTTGCTTATTGTTAAATCTCTTAAACTCATTGATAACAATAAGATAACAATATATATAACAATATATAATAATTGATAACAATAAGAAAAAAGTAATTGTGTGTATTTGCTTATACATTATGCGCAGCCATATTAATTTTTATGTACAAATTAACATTTTAATTTAATTATTATGAATTCAATCACATTTCTTAAGACGTTTCCTATATTTGATGTCTTTCTTGCTGAGATTTTGCTTATTGTTAAATCTCTTAAACTCATTGATAACAATAAGATAACAATATATATAACAATATATAATAATTGCTAACAATAAGAAAAAAGTTTCTTAAGGCTTATGATGACATTTTCCTTACTGGTTGAGGTGTTGTTGTTTTTTTCTCCCTTTCCTTTATCTTATTGTATTTCAATGCAGTTCTGTTTCTTGTTGTA